GCTAAAAAATAAATTTTTTTTTTAAATCTGCTACATTAGCAGCGGTTATAACCGCTGGTAAAAACTCGTTTTGTAGATTCGTATGTGTTATAACCGCTGCTATAGGCCTCATGTCCATATTTGCATGTTTCAAAACCACTGTAATATCATAGAATTGTGGCGGTTAAAACCGTTGCTAAAGGAAATACTGCTAAAAACTACCTCTATAGCATCGGTTTATAAACCGCTGCGGAAGCCCTTTGCAGCGATAGCAAATACAGCGGATATGCAGCGGTTTAGAAACCGCTGCTATGAAAATAGCATGTGTTTTAACCGCTGCTGTAGGGTAAAAAAAGTGCTGCGAAAACTTGTTTTAATAGTAGTGAATCATTTCAACAGTTGTATTAATGGTGAAATTATCTCTTAATCTACAGAATTTCTCGGAATCTTCTTCTTTGTTTCTATGCTAAGCTAATAAACGAAAGGGGGAAAAGTATTGATCAAATGCTTCAACAACTGTATTTCAACAATCATCAAACAAAATTTTTCTTAACATCAAACCATAAAAGAACTTCCATAAGAAAAAACTATATATGCCATTCTCGCCTGAGAAATTTTCTATGGGGAAGAAGAAGAACGAGCAAATCCTTCTCGCCAAACTGGATTGGAATGTTACTGTTGAAAAATATGGGAAAATTATGCTTATTCTATCTTGAGGAATAAGAAATGAAGATAGCATTAAAACCAAGATAAATATGTCAAAAGTGCATGTTAATCTAACTGAATAGTGAACATGTACATATTGTGTATTTGATGTCTAAATATAATATATCAATTTCTTATCTTTTTATAATTAATATTATATTACTCATTTCAGTCAAAATGATATATAAGCAAAATCATTTGTTTGAAATTTTAATATTAACCTGCCAAAATATTAAGGAGTATGATGCCTATGATATATCAAAAGTTATAAGGTGGAAAATCACTAGAACAAAAATATTGTATTTAAATCAAGTTTAGGAGAGAGAAAATCCGGGAAATCAAAATAATTGAAAATTAAAATAGGATTTGAGTTATTTATGGCGATCAGAATACTTTTCTTAACTGGAGCTATGAATGAAAAATGGTTTGAGCTATGAAATAAAAAGGGTCGGGGGCCCCCCCCCCCCCCAGGTGAAGATATTTTTTTATATGTTAAAAAATAAATTTTAGACCTGCGTCATGGCGCCCAAGGGGGCACCAAAGTTGAGTGCTCGGTCAAAATTCATTTTTCTCTCAATTTTTTTGAGAGCTCAAAATTAGGGCGCTGCATCCATGGCCCTTTCTTGGAGTAATTATTCTGTCAGGTTATCGAATGCATCCGGAAATCAATAACAAAATGCCACGTCACTAAAGTGCTCAGTATAGCACGCTCGGTACACTCGGTATGCTTGGTATTGCTCGGTATTTTCACCGGATGTAATAATTTTTCCCTTTCTTGACTCGTCCCATTACCTTCAACTCAACCCCTTATTATAGATCCATATATAACAAGGCATAAATCCAGCAGTGAGGAATTTAACTTAGGCTTCATTTGAGATGGTTTTTAATTTGCTTCTTAAATTAGTTTTTTTATATAAAAATTAAAATTTTTATACTAAAAATATGTTTTAAAAAACAGTAAAGAAGCCTTCCCAAATGAAGTCTTACAAAGAGTTTTATGTTTATTTTATAAAAAATAATGTTTGGAATAATAATAATATGTTTTGGTGAAAATATTATGCCTCTTCAACATCATTTCGACTTTTGATGATGATGATTGATTAAGATTATGAAAGATGTGATATAACCATAAAGAATGATTATTATGCTGTTTAAGATGTGAGAGTATATCATCGTCAATCCACTGACATCTATTGTTTTCACGCCTTTTTTATTTTCTAATCATGTAAGTAGGGTTTCTTTTTTTGTTCTAAAATATGATTAGAAAATAACTTTGCTTTTCTCCCTATAATCTATATTTTTTATAATATTTTTAATTTAATTAAGATTTTTGCTTATTAAATCAAAATTTGATTAATATTTGGTAAACAATATCTGGTTTTTAATATCATAAGCATGGATGAGCTTAAGATTTTGTTTGGGACAGCTTTCTTATTGCTTCTTAAAGTAGTTTTTTTAGTTATTATTATTATTATTTTATTAAAAAATTACTTTAAAAACAATAACAAAGCCTAACAAACGAAGCCTAAGACATTTTGCTGACTTTTATTATTTTTCATGCATTTTATATTATTAAGATGACATCTTAATTGGGTATTAATAGCTATTTATTGGCATTGTATGATAAGTGTCAATTTTCTAAAATAGTCTATTGATGATAATTGTCATTGTATGCTTTAAACTATATATTTTTTAGTAGTCTTGTTTGAAATCCTAAATTTTATATCTAAACAATAGATACCTACTCTTATAGTATGCTTGAGTACGAGTTTGAACATCTACGGAAAGATATTTCAAGCGATCATTTAATTCAAAACATCAAATACTATGGATGAGAATAACAATAATGATGAAGAGGAATACAAAAAACTCGTTCCAGTGGATGTAGATTTACCAAATAAATTGGAATTAAATGCGGAAAATCTTGCATCAAATACTAATTATTTTTTTATAAAAGAATTGTCTGTGCCGGTCTCGATTTTTTTGGCTCCGCCACTGATTGCAAAGGAAGGCAATCTTTTCTTCTCATCCTTGTGGCATGATAGTTGGTATTTAGATACTCATCCTACAACTTCTGGTTCGTAGTAACGACATAAGTGTGTGTGAACATTGTGCTTTGACATCAACTTAAAAGAAAAGTAAGGTTGATCTTTTTTTAAAAATGGACAATTTTTAAATTGTGGGTGTCGTTATCTTTGTAGCAAATAAAAGTTTTTTTGTTAGATAGAAAGTCAATCTGCTTGCACAAGTAAGAAAGCATAGAGAAAGGAGAGGAATTCAAGAATTAGCGAAATAGTTGACCATTTTGCTTTGATTACTACAAATGTAAAAGCATGAAATATGTTACTAACTATTAAATTCAAAGAGAGATGTTATGATGATGTGTTAATGCAGAGCAGAGAGGAATAAATTATATTTTATTTGATTTTTTCTTATGCCAATTCAGTTGTCAATCTCAATTTTCTTTTAATAGGTATGGTGGGGTAGTAAGCATTACTCCTAAATTTAAATGGTGATGAGATCATGAACCTTTGAGCTCTATAATGATACCCCAATTATTTGGGACAAGTGGAGAAGAAGGCGGGAAATAATCAGGAAATAGATCAAGTCAGAATTCAATTGATCGTGGCCGTCAAAGTCAACAAATAGCAATATGATGAATTATTTTGTGTGGACGCCGAATGATGTCCAAAGCTCAATGAAAATGCGTCACGTCACCTCCTACTCGATACCACGGCTCGGTACTACTAGGTACCGAACTCGATACTGCTCGGTACCGAATGACGTCGCTGCATCTGATTCCCCTATAGACGATAAACTGTGTCCGATGTCCGCACTTAATAATCTCTCAACAAGTAGGTGCTTAATAGGATTTTTGCATTAGCTGGTCATTTCTTTTGAACTGTTTGAGCTTGTCTTCAATTTTCAATGCAATTCTTTTGTTAGTAGTATTTTTTTCTGAATAAAAAATTACTTCATTCAAATATTTCAAAATTTTAATAATTCAGCATTATGTTTTTTTAATTGAGATTTAGGCATATGTTATGGATTCTATTTGTAAAATTATTATCCTCCAAAAAAAAGTCAAGAAATTTATATATTTATGTGCCTCATGATCAAATCATTGATAATTTCATGAAAGTCAAAAAAAAAAAAAGTTTCGAATTTTGATATTTTTGGGAGAATTTGATTTTTGAAAGGAGGAGAATGTTAATTTAGTAAATAGTCAAAAATCTAAATGTTAGCAAGAATTTACCCCTGTTTTCAAAAATACAAGGGCTAGCAAATTCATATAAACACGGGGGTAGAAATGGAATTTCATTTATCCTTTTGTGGCCGGCCTATGTATCAGTTAACAGTAATTTTTGGAGACCAACTACTGTTTTTTGTCTCCAATAGTTTTGGCACGTGCAGGGGGATTGTTAATGCTCAAGGTGGAGGGGCAGAAGCGACATAGCACATCAGAAGTCGTTGAGTCAGTCGGGAGTTTTATTTAGGATAGTAAATAAAACAGTAAGACTACAACTGCCCACCCCATATCTATCTATAGGGGTATATAATATTTATTTTATATACAAAAATGGTGATGTTAAAATTTTTTAAATCTATTAATTAAATTAATTATTTTAAAAACACAAATTAAATGTTTATTACGTAGAGTATTAAATAATAAATTTTAATAAATATATTTAGTATATATTAAATATACACAAAGTTTAGAGGATGTATTTGTGGTCTAAAATTTCGCTTAAAAATATTGAAAATATAATATTTTAATTTAAGAAACATTTGATTCAACTATTTAAATAAAATAAACTCAAATTTAAGTTAGAATTACTCTGTAAGGAAAGTCGTCGCGCATAGTTGTTCATTAATATGCTGCAGTAATGCACAGTGATAACTCTTGTCCGGTTGTACACGTGCGTCCGATGTGTTGAGTAGGAAAAATTGCGCTTCTTATAGGGGCATTCCGGGAAATTCTTGGGTATACACGCTTCTCGCATGACTTGCAGTCTAGCACCAAGACCACCGGAGTTCATCAAAATGCAAGAGAGAGAGAGAGAGAGAGAGAGGGGGCGCGGGGATTAGCGGGGACCATCTTATCTCAGCGGGGCCCACGGGGGCTCTAGCCACCGCGCATCACGTTCTGCGGCTTCGGCTGCCCGCCGCCCCTGGGCCCCGCGAAATTGCCTACCGACTTAACTCCGCCCCCACCGGGACTGCAGGGTCGTATCCTGCACCGGCGGAGCAATATTCAGAAAGCGCCGGTCCATGTCATCCAGACCCGAATCCCTTCACATGTGTACGAATATAGATTAGAGAAGACAGGCGGTTCATAATTAATACGTCAGTAAACATCCTGATAGCCATTGAGAAGGCCGGTCAAGCGGTCTACCTGATTTTTTTCTAAAATACAAGTAGCGAACAGAGGTTGCTCGGTTGCCGTGACATGGCGGTTTGGAGGGGAGGAGAGAACAACTCGAGCTAAGCCCCAAAATAAAAAATGTACAGGGAAGTCATTAGCTGGAATTTCAAATTCCTAGTCCTAACTACTTGATTAATTATTAAAACCTAGCTAATATATCCAGAAGAAGGGAGAATTGAGGCTTCGAAGTTCAAGATTGGAGGAGGCTGCGCACGATCTCGGCCTCGGCGCTGTTGGTGTCCATGGTGGCCATCAGTCCCGACAGCCGGTCGCTCAGGTCGTCCACTTCCCGGTGTAAGCTTTTGATGTAGTTGCATGTCTCCTTGAGTAGTTTCGCAGCTGAGGCCTGTCGTAAGTCGACTACATTTTGTGAGCTACTTGGGGAAAAAAATGGATATCGTAGATATTCAGTTCTTGAGTAATGAGATTAATGATGCATGAGATAAGGATTAGAGAGAGTACTTGATATGCTAATAATGATTTTGACTATTAATATATTATACTCATCATAAAATAATTTTTAAATAAAAAAAAGAATCACTTTTCGGTATATTGAGCATTTATCTTCCGCATTTTGCCTTTCATCAAAATGGAAAATATGCCAGGATTAACTGACAGTATTTTTAATTTTTTCTTAACTTAAACGTTAAACCTATGGTATCATTCCGAACAGATGAAACTTAGGCAAGTACTCTAATTCCACTCCTAACAGGTAAGTGAAGAGTTAAGAGGGTTTACCCGGCCTGCAGAGCGGCGTCGGGCCTCTGGGAGAAGAGATTGGAGCTTCGAGATGAGCTCATTGATCTCATCTTCTGTTATCCTGCTCCGTCGGCTCGACATGTTCGATTTTTTGAACTCTTCTTCCTCTTTTCTCTTCTAATGCTCTCACTAGTAAGTAGAAGGCGAGCGAGAGCAAGGATGAGAGAGACAGATAGGGAGAGAAAGAGGACTTTATAGAAGGAGGCGAGAGATGGATGGGAGAAACAACTGGAAGAAGCAGGTTAGCTATTCTACGCATATTAAGAAAGATTTCAGTCCCTACTTGCCCCCACCGGCTTTCATGTTCCCTATCGTGGGCCCTACTCGGCCCATGAAAGGGAGCAGTCCATGGGCCTCCGTACATGTTGCAGCCGAGCCCACTTGCCTCAGACGACAGCTTTTTAGTCCACTCATTTTCTTCCCTGTGGCCGCAGTGTAGCGAAGGCGAGTAGATGAAGAGATATTTATTATCTATTATCTATTTTGATTAAGCTTAAACTCAAGATTTGGCTTTGGTTTCGTAGCTTAAGCTTAAAGATGCTGTCCCCTTTCTGTCTGCACACCGCTCGTCCTACTCCCTGTCCTCGCGGTCGGAAGCTTCCTAATCTCCTGTGCTTTTGCTTTTAGTTTAATCACGGGATTGGTCGTATTATACAGTAATGGTGGTGGCAGCTCCACCTGGACAGAAAGGGTGTAGCCACGTGATGGCGGTTTGGCCTGGAGGCATGAGAGCTCCGACTCTAAAAACCGGCAAGGCTGTGAAAAACGCAAGGAAGGATTCGGAAGAAAGTGAGGTGGAAAAAGTGCTTGTGAGGAAGCAATGGCGAGAGGGCCCGGGAGAAGAAATAAGGGCAGCGGTGAAGGGGATACTACATGTGAGGGCATCCACTTGTAAGTGCCCATATGGCCACATGGGCTCGCCTACTGTTTGCTTCGTTGCAAATAGCAAGACATTGCTTCCATGTGACTTTAACTTGCACCGCTCTCTCTCTCTCTCTCTCTTTCTCTCCAGACTTCAATTTTCCTCTCTGACAAGCATTTCTTAGCTGGGCATGCATATTAATTATTTGGCAGGTCCCATGAGTTCTTACTTCGATTGATTTAGTGTTACTCTCTTACTCTTGTGACACTACATGGGTTTCATTCTCCGCCTGCACTTGACTGCTTTGCTACCGTCGCAGAAAAATTATTACAAGTGGCGTTCAGATTCGTCTGGAGATTAATAAAAATACGTCACGTATGATACCGAGAGCTACCGAACATGAAACGGGATGTTAGACTATCCGGTATCCGCACATAATAATTGCTCAGCGGGATTCTTTTTTAATTTTTTTGGGCTACGGACGAACGCAAACCACATAGATTAGAGCGGTGGCCCCAACTTTGTTGACAAATTTACGTCAAACGTTATGCAACAATGGTCATATAAACGAATTATCTGAAAATTTATGTTTCACTTATGTAAGTGCTATATTTGTGAAAATGTCAGGCAGTGAGGCAGGCAATGAATTCCTACAAAAATTCTTTCATAAAAATATACTGAAAGTTATAAAGTATACAAGAAAGTTTTTTCTATTTATTTCCATGCTTTATAAAGATTACTCATTCTTAAAATAAAATTTTTTTTGATCAAAAATAAATTGTAATTAAGTAATATCTTTTTTATGGTTTTAATTTTTATCTTTATACGTTGAGGTCAACTTACTTTTTCTTTTTTTTGTTTATTGAGTAGAAAAATTTACAGTGAGCCATATGCATTTAACATTGATTATCACTAGACTTTATAAGTAAGATAATTTCAATTTGGAGCCTTAGCGATGAATTGAGGAATGACATCCATTTGGAGCACGAAAAAGTAGATATTGATGTATGATTTAAAATTTTTTTTTTTTTTTAACAACAAAAGAAATTTTATTGATAAGAAGTCACCAAATACAACAGCCATAAACCACAAAGAAACAGCACAAAAAAGAACAATAACAAAAAGGAAATTAAGACGCTAATACCGAGCTCAGTATTCGGTCAAAACTTCCAGCGTCCATGACGTCCCGCAAGGACCGTCCAGAAAGGTGTATACGAACGAACAAAGCATCCCGGCGATCACACCAACGGTTGCCACCAGCAAAAACGTTAAGAACGCGAGCTCTGACCACATCATTGCTCATCGCCACAAAATATTTGAATAAAAAAAATTTAAATTATTTTATAAAAGTAATACCAATAAATAGAAACTTTATTTATTTTTATTTTTTTAATCAGAGCAAGAGATTTCAATGCAATATCATAAGATCATGGTGCAAAAAAGAAAATTATTTTTAATTGATTTTACACACTAGTTTGAATCACATCATGTATGCAAATAACGGAGACCATGGATAATATTAACTAAGGAAACACTAATGACTTAGGCACAATGGGTTGAGTGGCTGCTCTTCTTGTTTGGTCTTTCTTGCTTTCCGTATTTTTTCTGCAGGTTCGATCACATCCTTTGACTTCATTGATCAATCCAGATCCTTTTGATTTTTTTTCGCCCCACCTTCTTATCATTTTTTTTTCTTTTTAATCTGTAACTACTTGGGATCTTAAACTCTATAGATTTTTCTTTTCTTTTTTGATGGTAGCTCTCCGAATAGTTACTGAGTTTTCGATCTCTTTAAGGACTTTATAATCCTTTTGATTAATTAACACATAAGTCCACTGTGAATTGTATTAAAAAAGGATGAAACTTAGGCTGAGAATAAGCAAGTGAATATTGATTATATATGTCACAAATTGTGTACATTCTTGTAATGTCTTTAGGAATAATTAAGAATTGATGGAAAGTATTCAAATGTCAATTAAGACTTCGTTTGGGACGACTTTTTTGCTGCTTCTGAAATCAACTTTTTAGTAAAAAAAATAAAATTTTTATACTAAAAAGTTGCTGTAATAAGTATTAAGAAAGCCGTCCCGAACGAAGCCTAAATCAAACACTAGTCATTTTTAATAAAGTTTCGAACAGACCTAATGCATGATCAAATAAATAACAGTAACATATAAGTGCATTCTTATTCCATAATAATTATATAAAAACAATAAAACATAATCATATAAATATATTTAAATATAAATTACTAGAGAGTTGAATTATTGCATAAGAGATTTTTCTAAAGATCAAAATGCCTCGTGACATATTAACCTACTTCTTGTTTTCCCTAAGGATTGAAGGACAGGAGAAATATCCCCAAAAGAAGAAGGCCGGAGAACTAATTTAAGATTTCAAAATTTTCTTACTGACTTGCATAATAATATATAAAATATGCCTATCAATGCTTAATTTATATAGATAATCCAAAAAGATTCAATCTAAAATACAATATCATGATAGATGTGCTCAACATTATAAATTTTTTTCTAAAGATCATAATGAGAAAATCCTCATTACGCATTAACATACTACCTGTTTTTACTGAAAATGGAAAGAACGGAGAAATATGTTAAGTTTTCAAACCCTTAGAATTGACTTGTATCTTTAAATAAAATATCTCCACTATTTTTTTATTTAGTACATGTTTGTTCCTTAGAAAGGACATTAATATATTAATATATCTTAAAAATTTTATTGTAAAATTCAGAATTAAAAGCATTACATTCTTAGTTAAAATTAAAAATATTAGTTCAATTTTATTGATTTTTATATCAAATTAATATACAAGTAGAATAATATTTTTCTTTTGATGTATGAGTATTTGCCTGCATATGTAAGCCTCATATTATAAGTGGCCAAATATCCATGCTTTATATTTTCTTATAGAACTATACATGAATGTTCATTTTGGAAAAAATACCACATAATTATGGATAGCCTCTTGTATTTGTAGACTTTTTATTAGAGTCAAATCCTTCATAAATTGATTTAAACTAGTTTGAATCTTATTCAAACCTAATTCGAACAATGATTTGAAGTTTGAATCTTGGTTTGAATCACCTTGTGAACTCATAGTTTATTATTCAAATCAATCATTCAAACTTAATGTTTCAATCAAACCCTTTCTCTCAACATAATCTTCTCTTCTCCATCGTAATATAACTATGCTTTCTCCTAATGAGCTCTCGTCATGAAGTTCTCTTATACTTCACATGCTGTTGGTCCTATGAATGCCTTCCCGAGTGAGCTCTTGTTGCGAGCCCTTTTGCTCATCCACATGTCACTAGTTGCTTTTTCCTATAACTTTTGTTGACATCTGCTAAGCTCCAACACATATGATTAGTCTTGATGATTAGGGGTGTCAATATTTGACGCAACCTGAAAAATCGACACGAATCCGACCCGAAAATTACAAGTAAGGGATAACCCGAACCCGAAATGGGTACGGTTCTGATTTAGCAAATCAACCAGTTTCAAAAATCGGGTTGACCCAAAAATTCAAAATTGACCCGTTTTTTACCTGGAAACTAGAGATTGGCCCTTTTTTCTTGAAAATCTAAAATTGACCTATTTTTTACTCGAAAACTAGCAATTTTTTGTAGGCTTTGGGTCATTCGGGTCGTGTCGAGTTGACCCAGACCTGAAGCGGATCGGGTTCGGGTCTGAAAAATCAACCCGTTTGCAAAAACAGGTCGGGTTCAGATTGACCCGAATAGTTCTAGGTTAGTTCCTGCAAGTTCGACCTGAACCCGACCCGTGATCACAAATTGACACCCCTACTGATGATGCATTCCTTGATGAGCTTTTGAACTCCTCTTCTCCTTTACACACTATTGTTACTGCCTAATCCTTCATCCTTTGTCCATCAAGTGAGATAAATGCCATGAGATCACACCATGCAAACCGAGGTTTAAATTTAGGTTAGAAAACGATCAGAATTACTATAAATTTAAACCCATTTGAATCAATTTCGAAGGGTTTTAACGTTGTGAATTCAAGAGATTATCCCTCATTTAAGATACTCATCCAAATTAATCTTTGAGGTATATTTCTCCA